ATTTTAGGCCTCATTACCCTCGACTTTCCAGATTCCTATGATAAGGCTAGAAAGGTATTGAAGGAAAGATTCGGCCATCCTTATCCCATTGCACAGGCCTACAAGGATAAACTGAATGCTTGGCCTCCTGTAAGGGAAGGGGATGGCATGCATTTCCAACAGTTTGCTGATTTTCTGGTGCCTAGTGAACAAGCCATGAAGACCCTAATGTACATGGAAGGCCTTAACTCCGAAGACACTCTTAAAAGGATAACTTTAAAGTTGCCAAGTAGCGTGGGAGTGAGATGGTGCCATCTTGCCAACAAGATGTTAAAATCAGAACAAAGACTTTCTATGTTTCATGATGTTGTTAAATTTGTAACGCAAGAAGCATCCCTGGCTACTGACCCAGTATTCTCACCTGAAGCCCTTAAGGAAGCAAGTGGGAGAAGAGTCAAGAGCGCAAGTAGCTTCTCGACAAATGTCACACCTCCCGAAGAGCAATTGCCACCATCTTCTTCGTGTCGATTCTGTAATAGCCAGCATCACAGTCTAGAGAACTGTTCAACTGTTCGAGGCCTTCAAAGAGGAAGACTGTTAAAGAAAAGCATTTGTTCAAGAAGCAAGAATATGTTTCGATTGTTTCCGCTACAGCCATATGTCAAGATGTTGAAACCAGAAGGTGTGCAAAACTTGTAGTATGCCCCACCCAACTGTTCTTCATGATGAAATTAAGATTTCTCCTAAGCATAGCAGTAAAGATCAGGCAAGAGCTGTTTATTCAACCAAAGCAACTAGCAGCTGTAAAGTACCTGTAATGCTACTGAAACCACCAATACCATCACAAATTCTATGCTTGTTCCAGTTCGAATATACCAGCATGACAACCCCAAATGACGATAGGTGATTTATGCAGTGCTCGACCCAGCTAGTAACAGAACTTTCATTAAGAAAAGCATACTCGAAGAATTGCAAGTTAATGGAGTCGAAACTCAAATGAAGTTGAACACCATGCATGGTTCAGAAGTAGTTCCTACTCGCAGAGTTGGCAGTCTAATTGTTGAAAGAATGGATAGAGAGGTCCACATTAAACTTCCCAAGGCATACTCAAGGAACGAAATACCATCTAAAAGAAATGAGATCCCAAGACTGTAGTCAGCAGCAAAATGGCCACACCTAACTTAACCAACAAGATTTACCCTTATCAAGAAGATCTGCAAGATTGATTGGTTTGAACTGTCCAAATGCTATAAAGCTGAAGCAGGTTATTCGCAGTAGAAGCAGTGATCCCTATGTCATCCATACCCTCCTTGGTTGGGGCATCATCAGTCCAGTGACAGGAAGTACGAACAGAGAAGACTTGGATGTCTCATGTCACCGAGTTGCTGTGAAGGAGATTGGCAGCGAAGAACTACCTTCCCATGGGTTTGTTGTTGAGACACTTGTAAAAGAGATCATCTCTCCAGAAGCAGTCAAGAGAATGTTCCAGCAAGATTTCAGTGCGGTAAAGCACGTGGCTCAACAGACCCTTTCCATGGATGATCGAAGATTCATGGCAAAGGTTAAGCAAGGAATCACTCATCGTTCAGATGGACACTATGAGCTGCCATTGCCACTACGAAACCAATGTTAAGTCC